AGGGAGGGGTCTTAATGACTCTAGTGATCCTCTGACTTTCCTAGAGCCCCTCTCAAAGGTCAAAATATAAGCCTGTTGAAAACCCCTAAGACAAGATGTCAAGTCCATTTTATCAACAAAGTCTCACATCTGCTTCAAAGGGCTCCGCAAATGCTCTCTGTCCTCGGACCCTGGGACACAACGACATGCTGACTGCATCGGGGTTTGAACCTGATCCGAACACCAACGCACAACCCACTGCGCCACACGCCTCCAAATCAACCGAGAGTCGATGTGAAAAGTTAAGAAATCACCAAAGTATTTTGTGTACCGTAAATTGGTATGTATATTTTCAACTTTTTTTTAATGCTGTTTTATTTCTATTTTGAGATGTTTACATGAATTGTTTATTTATAATACATGTATGTTTAATTCACCCTGTGGGCATCTTACATGTCCACAACATCTCATCCATTCCATCCAGTAGCTGGCAAGACATTTCACTCAAAAACATTCATTTTAACCTCAATTCAAAACTTTTAGTTGTGGTGTTTTAAAAGTAATAATGCCAAAGTTGTTAGGGTTCAACCTCTGGGAAAATGAATGTCCGATAGTTACAATAGTTTCCCTCAAAACCATGAACTTCAACCTCAAGGGGATTAAAAGTCTTTAGGAGTCATCCTCTGGGAATAATGAGTTTTGACTTGAGGCAAGAATTCATACCAGACGATGAACCGCCTATAATTCCCTGTACACATATTCATGTTTCCCAGAGGTTGAACCCTAAGGAATGTAGTGATCCCAACGCATTTTGCCTTTTTAAATAATAATCCCTCTGTTATATATTGAGATATGTCAGATGAATGTGTTCAATCATTGTTATAAGCAAAAGACAGCGAAGGACACGGGGTTCACCCTCTGGTAACTATGAATGTTTTTCCCACTCTATCCAAGAGATGTTGAGAAACTTCGGTGGGTATGGGAAGACTGTGTTGCTGGTTTTCAAAAGATCAAATGGATGTGAATCAATGGCGTTCTCTTATCTCATTTCAGATCCTCTCTTTTTACCAATTTAAGAATTTCTTTGTCCACAAAAAGATGGCAACATGTGGAGAAACCCTGAATCCAGGCATCAAAATGTCCGTTCAGGAACTTGTCAGATGGATTATTAAACTGTAGTACCACCAAACGGATAGGATAGGATAATTTATGGGACAGAACCGAGACCAAGGACTGCCGGGAAGGGAATAAATCAAAATACTGAAGGTTTAAGATGTTTTTGAGGAAGGAAGGAGCTCTGTGTGCGATTATTTGTCAGTATTTCAAAAACAACAAACCCAGAAGAGAATAAATATTCCTCCTGAGTGAACCGGACAATTTCATTTCTCTGGGTGGAGGGTTTGGCGGTTCGACAGTCCTTCTTATGAGGCACTGGAAACCACTAAAAGTTGCTTAGTTGTGCCCGACAAAGGTTCATCAGAAGGTGATTCTCAGAGCAGCACAGTTAAGACATCCTTTTGCTTGTTGGAGTAGAAAAGTATTTCAAGGTGGACAAATATAGCTAGTGTTTAAAGTAGCCTACTGTCGTTAGTTTTTGTTGTTGCAATAATACAGTTTGCTGGCAATGATCTAATCTCAGCCAAGAAAAATGCATGACACGATATCCAAACAAAGTCAGTATCATTTACATTTCCACAGTATTGATTCCACCAGTACATGAAAAGCCTTGTGTTAGCTAAGGACACAAGGTTACAAAGAAAATGGTGAAATATAAGGTAGTCCTATATTTGAAGTGAAACAAACAAGCTAAACTATTTGTTGTTGTTAAAGTACAGAGAATGAGTTCAGGAGTCTCACATCCTGAAGAAAAACTGTACTCTTCAGTCCAATAGTTCCACTGCGAATACCTCTCTACTTTGCTTTTTTACCAAATTGGAGAAGTGGCTTTACCCATCCAGAGATGACCAGACGGTTCCTGGTTCAAGCATGGCAGAATCATTCAGGATCAGGCAGGAAAGGTAGGCTTAAAGTAATACATGCATATCAAAGATGGTGTCTGTGTAGCTGCAAAGGTTATAACGACAAAAGCTTGTACCACGTCCCCCGACTTGTGTAAGCAAAGACTCTATAAAATGTACAAAAATGTTCCGATCATTTAAAGTGGTTTTGTGAAAAGCCTTGAACCTCCAAAACAAGGGCTAAGCTAACCATTTCCTAACCGCAGCTCTCAAAGCTGTCCCTTTGCCTGAATATATCAGTTAGTTCAGGCACTGCTGAGCTGTAAATCTCTTTAGTTAAAACTAAATATCTAAACAAATAAAATAAAAACATTAATGCAGCCTCCTGATCCTCCTGCATCAGCAGAAATGAAACTCTAAAGCTGCTGTTAAAGTCGAGTTGGCAAAGACGATGATTTATAAACAGCTGACTGCAACACTCTCTGTAATCCTCAGTTTACTCTGCTTTGACAGTTTTTTGGTGATCCGTGAACCTCTTCCTCCTCTTCCTCTCATCTTCCTCTCATCACCCAAAATGGTTGTTCTGCACTCCCTTTCCCGTGGGACAAACAGCATTATTGTTGAACTGTTTGGTCATGTGACCCGTCTCGCCACAGCTCAATGACTCATTTAACCGACTGAACCATCGCCACCCAAAAACAGATCCACTCAGCAGGCTGTGATGTCAGCCTCATTACAGTCATTATCCCAAACTAAACAATGTCCAAACCGACCCAACTGTCTTGTTGGATTTGGTTGATTTATTGATTGTTTACTGAGGTTTCTGCAGAACATTAATGTGTATGGTGTCCTCCTGCTGGGAAAAATGAACTCAAAATCACTTTCTGTCTCGTTAGCTTTTCACCAGACAAGTCAATGTAAAAATAAATGATCCTAAAAAGCCAATTTAGGGTAACTATTAACCCTTTCATGCATAGAGGTCACTACAGTGGACAGCTATTCAAAAGGTGTTTTCTTCTATATGCATTGTTTTTTTTTGCATAGTTGCACCATCAGCCACTACATAGGACCCTATTGCATCATCCCATACACTGCCCCTCAGTGGAAAGTCAGTGTAAGTGCATGATACATGTCTCTAAACCAAGATGGACGACCGAAAGCCACATGGACCAAGTCACCCATTTATATCTTGCCAATCCTTTTATGGAAAGCGTCCCCTGCAGGTATAAAAAATGTGGTGACATCAAGTAACAACTAAGGAATTATATAATACATAAAGGATCAAAGTATTGATTTTATGTTTGCAGGAAATCACTGGCTATAGTTCAACTACAATTCATACTGGTACTGCTGCTGNATCAAAGTATTGATTTTATGTTTGCAGGAAATCATGATTAACCACCTGTCCACTACAGTGGACGTCATGCATCACTGGCTATATTTCAACTACAATTCATACTGGTACTGCTGCTGCTGTACCCAGGGCCGTCCCTCCCTACAAGCAGATCATGCAGACTGTGTGGGGCCTCA